TAATAATAATAATAATAATAATAATAATAAAGTTGGAAGGGACCTTGGAGGTCATCGAGTCCAACCCCCTGCTCAGGAAGGAAACCCTATACCATTTCGGACAAATGGCTGTCCAGTCTCTTCTTAAAAACTTCCAGTGTTGGAGCATTCACCGCTTCTGGAGGCAGGTTGTTCCATTGGTTAATTGTACTAACTGTCAGGAAGTTTCTCCTTAGTTCTAGGTTGCTTCTCTCCTTGATCAGTTTCCATCTGTTGCTTCTTGTCCTGCCTTCAAGTGCCTTGGAGAATAGCTTGACTCCCTCTTCTTGGTGGCAGCCCCTGAGATATTGGAACACTGCTATCATGTCCCCCCTCGTCCTTCTCTTTGCTAAACTAGACATACCCAACCCCAGCAACCGTTCCTTATATGTTTTAGCCTCCAGTCCCCTAATCATCTTTGTTGCTCTTCTCTGTACTCTTTCTAGAGTTTCAGCATCTTTTTTACATCATGGTGACCAAAACTGGATGCAGTATTCCAAGTGTGGCCTTACCAAGGCATTGTAAAGTGGTATTAATACTTCACGTGATCTTGATTCTATCCCTCTGTTAATGCAGCCCAGCACTGTGTTGGCTTTTTTGGCAGCTGCAGCACACTGCTGGCTCATATTTAAGTGATTGTCCACTAGGACTCCGAGATCCCTCTCACAGTTACTACTATTGAGCAAGGTACCCCTATACTATACCTGTACATTTGGTTTTTCTTGCCTAAATGTAGAACCTTACTTTTTTCACCATTGAATTTCATTTTGTTAGATAGCGCCAGTGTTCAAGTCTGTCCAGGTCCTTAAGCCTGTATCTTAAGCCTGTATCTTAAGCCTGTCTTCTGGAGTGTTGGCTATTCCTGCCAGCTTGGTGTCATGCGCAAATTTGATGAATTCCCCATCTATCCCCTCGTCCAAATCATTGATGAAGATGTTGAAGAGCATTGGGCCTAGAACAGAGCCCTGGGGCACCCCACTACACACTTCCTTCCATGTAGATGCAGTTCCATTGAGGACCACACACTGAGTACGCCGGTCAGCCAGCCACGAATCCATCTGGTGGTGATGCTGTCTAACCCACATTTTTCTATGTTATCGAGTAGTAGGTTGTGATCTACTTTATCAAATGCCCTTGCTTGAGATGGATAAAAGTGGGCATTTAATAGCTTTACAGGGATGGGTTTGGGTTTGGATTCTATCCCGCTCTGTATTTTTTCAGAAAATCTTGAAGAAACATAGTAACTGAGAAAGAAGTTTGCGGGTGTAGAAGAATTTGTGGTTATTGTTTTTTTAACTATTTATTTTTATTTAGGAAAGATGGTAGTACAACATTAAGCTAATAGTTACCGTGAGAGTTATAATGATACTAAGAATTAAAGTGCTCTGTGAACAAGTATAAGGAAGAAAGCAATTTTAGGAAACACTAGCAAACAAGCCATGGGGGAGCTACCATTTTTTATTTCTATTGTCATTTGAACCTGTGTAAAGTATTTTAGTTCACAATTAAGCCTAGTATCAATTGAAAACCATAGATTCTGTACCCAAAACCAGACTAAAGATTTAAATGGAAGGAAAGAGAAGAGGACGACCAACAGCAAGGTGGAATGACCAGTTACAGTGGCAATAGCTACCAGGTTGGAAGACTTGAAGGACCAGGTTAGGCACAGATTGTCGTGGAGAAAGTTTATCTGTGTGGGTGCTAAGAGTTGAAAATGATTTGATATCAAATAATCACGTATTTAATGTTCTTCAATAAACATACAAAATTTGGGAGCTGTGTAAATTACTATATAATAGTAATATTATTACTACATAATAATATTTAAAAATACTATTTACCATTGCCATATAAAGAGAAATAAACTGACATACATTTTTTTTAAGTTGGATTAATCTTGGAAAGTGTCAAACATACACAGAGAAAAAAACAGCAATGGGTGAAGCAAACTGCATGATGCCAAAAGGGCAAAGCTGTGGTGACTTCATTATACAAATATCATACCTATGTAGCTGGGTCCCAACATTTGGCAGAAATTCATAAGTACTTCTGCTGATTATGTATTTCTGACCAAACACATATTGCTGTTTGCACTACTTTTTCCTCAGGTGGGTATCCTGAGAACAAAGGAAGCGACATAAGCAGGAATAGCCAGCTGATGACTGAGGGATGACAGCCCTGCAACCCAGCCAGGGCTGGAGGGTTACATGTCACTCATCCAGAAAAAGGGCTCAGATGAGGAAAGAAGAAATGAATGTTGAACTACAAGTAATTATTAGTAAATTAGTAAAAGCTGTTTCTAGTTTTTGGTAACAAGCACAGCACTATGGCAAAGTAAATGTTGCTAGTCCCCAAAGGTTTCCTCCAAAGTTATTGGACTTCAGCTCCCATCATTTCCAGGGTCTGAGGCATGTGGCTGGGCCTTATAGGAAATTGAGGCCAGCAGTTAGAGGGAGAAAAAGTGTAATAACCTTTTATCAGGGGTTCACAGTTTTGCTATTCGGAGTCTGTGCAGATGAAAAATCCAGCCAATAAGATGATCCATAGACATGGGATGCTCCAACACTGGAAGTTTTTAAGAAGAGACTGAACAGCCATTTGTCTGAAATGGTATAGGGTTTCCTGAAGAGCAACAAAGATGATTAGGGGACTGGAGGCTAAAACATATAAGGAATGGTTGCTGGAATTGGGTATGTCTAGTTTAACAAAGAGAAGGACGAGGGGGGACATGATAGCAGTGTTCCAATATCTCAGGGGCTGCCACAAAGAAGAGGGAGTCAGGCTATTCTCCAAAGCGCCTGAAGGCAGGACAAGAAGCAACGGGTGGAAACTAACCAAAGAGAGAAGCAACCTAGAACTAAGGAGAAACTTCCTNGTTTTTAAGAAGAGACTGGACAGCCATTTGTCCGAAATGGTATAGGGTTTCCTGCCTGAGCAGGAGGTTGGACTAGATGACCTCCGAGGTCCCTTCCAACTTTATTATTATTATTATTATTATTATTATTATTATTATTATTATTATTATTATTATTATTATTATTATTATTATTATTATTATTATTATTATTATTATTTCCTTGCATGCAGGAAAAGAGCATAAGGAGAAGTTGGATGAGAAAACAAAGAAGAAACCTGAAACTGAATCAAGGAAAATCTAAACACCATGCAGAAATTAAATAGCTCTTACATACCATAACCAAAGAAAAATTGAAATTTGATGCACCTCTCTGTGCAAGGAAGAGGTCTTGTTTTCTGTAGTTGTAGGGTTATTTTTTTTCTTACAAACAGCTTATTTATCCATTTATGCCTTTTCTCCCATATGAGGAAAAGCAAATAGGATGGATCAGTTTTCATGAGCAAATGATCTGCATTTGAACACTGGATGCAAATTACAATTTAATAACAATGTTATCATAGAAACGAAAACAATATTATAGGATCACTTGAGTATATATTGCATAGAAAGACAGGCTAGAAATAAATAAATAAAATTCCAGAACAGCTGCAGTTACATTGTTATAAAAAGACTTGTTTATTCCATTTAGGTCTAAGTGACTGACAATGCCCAATAAAATTATGCTTAAAATGAGAAATAAATGTTTGTGCTGTATCTGGAAATGCAAGATAGCTTTCCACTTCAATATGCAGAATTAGTGGCTGTGGAAACTGAATGCCAACATCAGAGACAAGTTTCAGAAAATAATGTAGTTGTAGAAATCCAACAAAAATAACTGATACACCTAATTAAAAAAAAACACTAGTATATTGGATTATCCAATTAAGGCAGATATAAATGATTATTTTTTTAAACGCAGATCTTTCAAAATGACATGATAAGCAGAGAGGAACATTAATTATTACTATTTTGGGGGAGATAAATTTTGCTGAACATGGTCTTTCTGGGAAACTCCATAATGTGAACATTTCATCTTAAATTTGTTTTGTTATCCCTGTAGTAATAAGTGAATAATAATGAAAAATTTATTTAGAACTTGGTATCGTTATACATGATGTCTGGGAACTCTGAAATGTTATATTTCTAATTATGGAAAGTGTGTCATATAATTACTGGTATTAATTTTGTATGACTCACAAACAGATTTTAGAACTGATAAAAATACATTTTTATTCAGAATGAGATGTACGCAAAATTGTAAATAATTCTTGCAGAACAATCAATACTGTATTCTACTTCATTTAAAAAAACAACACCTTTTCATTTGCCTAATGGTTTCGCCATCTTTTTAATTACCAGCAGTTCTGATATTTGTTCGTTCCTTCATTTAGTTGTGTGTGCTATATTACAGAATACAAGACATAGTCTTAGAATATTTGACAATGAATTTATGGCAAATGTAACGGATTTGGGACCACAGAAAAACTGCTTCCTAAAAAGCTAATTCTTTGAATGTTTGTGCCTTTAAATGATGGATATAAGTGATGCATCATTAGGTAGCAAAACTGTATTTTCTGCCACACAAAAACAGGGCTCTTAAACTACTTCTTGGAGGTTAACAGCAGCATGTATAAGACCAATAAATCCTTGTAAGTCAGGAATCCCCAACTCCCAGGCTGTGGCCCAGTACCGTTCAGAACCAGGACACACTTATCTGTTGCTTGCCTGGAACCATCCCCTCTTCCCCCCCGCCACCGCCATCCTCACTGTCGGTCCATAAAACCATAAAACCAGACTGCTGCTGTTGGACGCTGAAGTAGAAAGAGCCCAAATCATAAAAATGAGTACAAATTAGATGGGAATCTTCTGTTCAGATTAACAACAATCTATCTCTATGAATAAAAATAATTGCCATAGTTTTTATATAGCTTCTGATAATTAGTACATTCATCTCTGAAGATTTCACCTTTGCTGCGTTATTAATCTACAAACACTTTATGTTCCATATCACAGTGATTGATTTCAATAGTTACTTTGGATTTCGAAAATAATTTAAAAAGAATTAATCTTAACTGAACTCTGACAGATATGAAATTAGGACGGAATGTGGCCCGAACGTTTTTGGATTATTACAGACTAAATGCCATTACAGAGAGACCTTTAGTACCAGTTTCAAGTACATGGTAAGTTTTAAAAAACTATTTGTCTGTTTTTAATTTTCAACAATTTTTATTATTAAACTTGATTACAAAGTTACAGTAGTGTGCTTTGCCAGGTTAGCTAAGATTTACAGAGCTCTCCAGGTTCTATAGACTCTTATTCCACTAGTTTTCTTGCGTCTGAAATAAAAAAAATGGAATAAGCACGTCTTTTCTTTTTTCAGATGAATTTTGTAAAAGTAATTCCAAAAGTGGGTTGAGAGCTTATTCAGAGAGAAAATGTTTCCTTAGTTTATTTAATTTTAGAAATATTTTGACCTTGTTGATTTTTTTTCTAGAATCAACATTTTTTCTTGTCCTAAATAAGTCTCCAGAAAGAACACTTAAATTTCTCAGATACTCACATGCTTGATTCCCTGACTCTATCATTTGTTTTCTATGAATTTCCATGTTGTTGTGTTTTTTTGGGGGAGGGGGGGGAATATAATTGAGGATTATGGTTGTGACCCGAGAACCAGGTTTGTTGAATAAAAAAAAATTCTTTAAGAATGGGAAAGCTGATATCAAGCAATTTTATGGATCTGCCTTTTCATATTAAAAATGTAGTACTGGCTGAAATTCAGGATTGCATATGTCATCAGATTATTTACAGGGAGATGTCATGAAGGAGAAACCTTTATATTTGCTCAATCAATAGGCACAATCAGCCTTTCTCATAATCAATTAGTTTGCCTTCAGAAATTTTAAATGCTTCATCACTGGAGGTTTTTTTTTAGAAAAGACTGGACAACCAATCTATTCTGATTGAATTACTGTAGTTTGTACATTTTTTTCTGGTCTCTCTCTCTCTCTCTCTGTGTGTGTGTGTGTGTGTGTGTGCAAGCCTGCACATCTCTGAGTCAGTGTTGACTCCTGCTGATTGCCTGGCAAGTCTCAGGAGTAATTGTCCATTTTTGTCAGCCATTATCTCCTTCTCAGGGCTGAGAAGGTCCAAGGTCACCCATTTGATTCTGTGCCAAAATCAGAATTAGAACTCACAATCTCCCTGTTCCAAACTGGCACCTTAATCAGTACACCAAACTGGCTCTCTAGTTTCAAGTTACCATTTATCTTTTATAGGAATTATATTCAGACTGTGCATATTTTGTACTTCTCAGCAGGTGTAAGATACAGACATCCAAAAAAATTTCAAATTACCATCACCATCACTACCACTTTTCTCAGGTTGAGGATTAAATTCCACACCAGCAAGTTATTTGGAAAATATCATACGTGTATCCTACCTTTTTCCTTAATTCGACAATGTCTGGCCCCAAATATTTTTGAAGGAAAAAAATGATAGCAAGTCTAGCTCTAAAAGGAGAATACTTGTGAAGTTGGTGAAATTATGACAGTAACATATGTACTGCTAAACTACTCATTCTATATGATTATAAAACCCCTCCTTAAAAATAAGGCCTAAAAATCAGGCAAGTATCACATTATTTATTTACTATTTGACAGCATCATTGAAACTACCATGAAGGTGACATGATTTTGCTGAGTTATCTTGTTAAAAATATGCTAAAGTGACTTTTAATTAATTTGATGCTTTATTTGGACTTAAGAGTTTTTTTTCCTTTTTGCCAGATGAGTGGAGGAAAGAGACAGCTGACCTATAACTGGGAACAGTAAATCCACCTTCCCAATTATTTCTCCCCCAGACAAAACCATCGCTAAAACTCCCTGCCATCACTACTGCATTTGAGTGATGTTGTTGTGTCATGATTCCATTAGCTGTACTCCTTTGTACTCCCTTTCATTTTCACCATTGTATCTGCTCACTTTTTTTCCCTTTTACCAGTTTTTAGCCACTTTGAGTGATACTTGAGTATGAGAATGAGAACATACGGATGTCTGTATGTGCATATTGGGAAAGTGCTCTTAAGCTGCCATGCTGGGAATCAAAAAGAAATGTTTGTGTGGACTTGAATGGCATTGTATCATCGGTTATGCTTCAAAATATATTCAGAAACAGTACTTCAACCCTAACATAAGCACAGTACTCATTGAAGTAACTTGTCTTTTTTTCCAATATTCATGCAAGCCTGATGAAAGATGCAGCTATGTTTGGAGTAATATTAAAGTTATTATATTTTAATGGTTTGATTAAAGCAGCAGTGTCTTTGTTTTGGACTTGTAAGAAACCTGAAAAAAGTCATGTGTGTTTCACATGACATTCAAAACATTTTTTAAATCATTTTCGAAGTGGGACTACCCTATTGTCAACTGTGCTATCAATCATCTCCCCAAAAAAGCTATGGCTGGCTCCCATGCCCTTATATTCTGAATAAAAATTGAGGGCAAGCTTTTTCTCATAGGCATTTACATGGTAAAATTGCTCCAGAATCGTGCTGCCTCTTTAAAAATAAACCCCCCAGCCCCATTACTGAATATTTAAAATTCTTTTTCTCTTATTTTTTTTATATCAGACTGTTTTATTGTTCTTTCTTATTTGCATGAAGCTTTGGACTCTTTGGAGATGAACAACACTACAGAAATCAGTAACAATACTAGCAATCATTGTTATCTCTGCATTTCCGCGTACTATGCATGAGCATTCATCTTCCTAAGACATCCCCTGGAAAAACTCATTTAGGGGTGTAAAAGGAAAAGAAAGCCACTATTAGGTACTGAGACTCTTCTTAGGCAGTAAATACAAGTATTCTAGGATTGAAAATTGGGGAAGCAATTGGAACAGAGGGAACCATTCCAGAATAACACCCTTTACTTCTTTACCTGAAGACTTCAGAATAGTTTAAGGCGGGGGGGGGGGGGAGATGCTGGAATCCCAGACAACTCAAGTCTGATTTTGTGCAGCAGCAAATTGCATAAGAAATGGAACAGCTACTACAGTTTAAAGGCAAATTATATGTTTTGCTTCAGAAATTAATTTTTGTTTTCCCCCTTGTCAATTGATAATTATAATCTGCCAGTTTTACTCCTACGTGCGTCTGCACATTTTAAATGCAGATCTCAGTTCTTGTAGCTGCTGCTGAAGATAGAGGGGAAAAAATCCTTTCAGCATTAAACTGTGACACATTTGCGTGGGCTAAATGAAAAAGATCCATTTACGGAATTCAGAGAGATTTGCATTGCTTGGACAGCCTCCAGCAGGGCTCACCAAAATACCAGATTACAATAATTACCCTGTCAAATGCTTAGCAATCAAAATGTTGGCTGGAACAATGTAACCTCACATTTTGAGTATAGGCATGGCATGGCAAATGCTTAAATGTAGAATGTGCTTTTTGCAGAGCCAGGAGGGAAAGAAAAAAATGGATGGTTAACTGCTGTCTTGTAGAAGAAGCATCAGGAGCCGTTTTCATTCCATGCATAGTTGTCTACATTAGGACAATCTTATTCTCCTTTATTTTATATGAAACAAATACAAGTGGTCCTCGACTTACAACAGTTCGTTTGGTGATCGTTCGAAGTTACAACAGCACTGAAAAAAGTGACTTATGACCATTCTTCACACTTACGACCCTGCAGCATTCCCACAGTCACGTGATTTACATTCAGATGCTTAACAATTGACTCGCATTTATGACGGTTGCAGTGTCCTGTGGTCACGTGATCCCCATTTGTGATCTTCTGACATGCAAAGTCAAAGGGGGAAGCTAGATTCACTTAACAACCGTGTTACTAATTTCACAACTGCAGTGATTCACTTAACAAATGTGGCAAGAAAAGTCATAAAATGGGACACTTAACGCACTTAACAAATTTCGCACTTAACGCACTTAACAAATTTGGCAAGATAAATTTTGGGCTCCATTGTAGTTGTCAGTTGAGGACTACCTGTATTAATATAGATTTAGGTATTGATGAAATGACTTTGTGATGTTTCTTTGCATTTCAAGTACTTTATCCCATTTTGTTTTTAGCGCTATCTATGTTGCTTTAAAGTAATCCTTCTTACAGATGAATACGTTCCAGGAATGTGTTGTAATAGAAACTAAGGCAACCCAATCTAGACTGCAAAAATCTTGACAATCACTAGATGGCAGTAAAGAATTAGTTTTCTATCTAATAACCATCTGCATTTTTGCAACCCAGATATAATAGTCCTAATGTATCTTAAGGTGGTCCAAGAAGAGCTCAATGAAAGATGTTGTTGCACTCCAGTATTTGGCTGGATTTCAACCATTTGTAATCTATGCTGGAACTGAATTTGAAAAGAAGGCAGGGTCAAGTCTGGTTTCTGCAGGAAATTTTATGACCCTGAATTTCCCTCAATCTAATGGGAAACAGGAATCTCTTGCAGTATTGGATATAGAAATTTATCAAAAGAAACTTGCAATCATGCATATGTATATCAATACATTTTGCTCATAGCTAACATTACTACTGTTCTATAATACCAGGCTCCTCTATGAAATATCTGAAGTCTCCAGAATTTCTGACTCACAGATTCTATAAATTTTAAATATTTTCTTTAGTGGTTTACATTAAAAAAATATTTGTAACAAGATGTGTTTGCAATAAATACTTTTAGAAAGAGATTCAGTTCTTAAGTGAGTTGGGTGAGAAAAAAAATCTTAGTTCAGTCCTAATCCACTTCCTTAATTCTATTAAGTAAATGATAGTGTTTGCTTCCATCTTGTTGGTAATAAATAAATTCTCAAGAATATAGTGATACAATTCAATGTTATGAATCTGACTTGATGGATTTGTCACAACTTTTGTCATTTGGTGTCAGGTGTTTGTTTGCAATTTTGGTTCCCACCTTGGAACCAAATTGAATATGTGGGCATTTAAAATGTGGACTCTATTAGCATTTCAGTTGTTTGTTTCCCAGATCATGCAAAAGAACCATTGAACTCTGTTGTCCATCTATCCTGCTCCTCCATTTAACCAGAGAACCTCTATTGTCAACGGTGCCTGCTCACAGAATATTTTTAGTAGCGAACAGCCACATGTGATTGCCCATCAAAACTATGCAATCCCTAAAACTCCGCAAGCTTGACCCCACCAGTACAAAATATACAGTGTTGAGGAAGAAAGAAGTAATTCTACAGATTACATCTAATTCTCTGATTATTTTCTCCAGCTTATCTTTTTATACAGGGAACTATATGGAGGACTGATTATTACAGTATTTTGTTGTGCTGGCATCCTACATCCCCATATAATTTCAGGAAACGTTAGCATTCATTTTATTTCCCTTGTTACATTTGCATTTATATCATGCCTTTTCTCCAGAAATTCAAGATAACCTATAATAGAATCCCAATTTTTCTCAGAACAAACTAATTGGATACGTTAGGCAAAGCTTCCATGATTAAATATGGAGCTGAATGTGGGTCTCCTCAGTCCTAGTTGAGCATCTTAACCATTAAGAATCATGGTTCTGATTTTCTCCTGTCTGCCAGATCCCACCAGTTTAATTACCCTAGCTAACAGTTTCTGAACAGGTAAAATTCACTTCTGTGGGTCATGCTTGGCCTGCCTTTCTTTCAACTGCCTGTCAATAACTGTTTTGCTACCTGATTTGTGTTCCTGTGTGTGTTTACTACTTTAAACTGCCAGACATCCTCAGAAACAAGAACCTTCCTACAGAGCTCTGCTTAATTAATTTTGGGACTCTCAGGGAAAGGCATTTGACATAATTAGGAATTATGGATGTTGGCTGTCCATCCTGTTTTAAACTGATTGCTTGTTAATGGCCAGAAACGATTGGCTTGAGTTTCCTTGATGGTAAATTGGGAGACTGAGTTAATATGTCTTGTTCAGGCTGGGCTGAGGTTTTTTTACACAGATTTTCAACATTTCAATAGGGGAGGGAAAGGGTCCCTAAATTCTCATTTCCATGGGGTCTTCTGCAAAACAACACCAAAAGGCTGCTCTGATTACAGATCTGTCCTTACTTGAAGCCTTGGCCACCAAATAGTTCCTTATTTAAGGGAGGAATTCCCAACAAAATGCACTACCCTCAACTTTAAACAGTGTAAAGCTCCATCTCCAGCAAAACAACTAATCTGTTTATAATAATAATAATAATAATAAAGTTGGAAGGGACCTTGGAGGTCATCGAGTCCAACCCCCTGCCCAGGCAGGAACCCTACACCATTTCAGACAAACGGCTATCCAGTCTCTTCTTAAAAACTTCCAGTGTTGGAGCATTCACCACTTCTGGAGGCAGGTTGTTCCATTGGTTAATTGTTCTAACTGTCAGGAAGTTTCTCCTTAGTTCTAAGTTGCTTCTCTCCTTGATCAGTTTCCACCCATTGCTTCTCGTCCTGCCTTCAGGCGCCTTGGAGAATAGCTTGACTCCCTCTTCTTTGTNCCCTCTGTTAATGCAGCCCAGCACTGTGTTGGCTTTTTTGGCAGCTGCAGCACACTGCTGGCTCATATCTAAGTGATTGTCCACTAGGACTCCGAGATCCCGCTCACAGTTACTACTATTGAGCAAGGTACCCCCTATACTATACCTGTACATTTGGTTTTTCTTGCCTAAATGTAGAACCTTACTTTTTTCACCATTGGATTTCATTTTGTTAGATAGCGCCCACTTTCACACACACTCAGAGATAAAGAGCAAAAATGATTGACTACCTACACCTTACTTTCATGGGCACACATGTTCATATAAAAATTGAAACAAGATTTTTAACTCTACTTTTTACTCTCAAATTTTGAACTCTCTCTTTTCCTAATTTTACCAGCTGTATTGTATAAGCTAGGGGGAAGAAAGGAAAAGTCTATTTTTGCTGGTATGAAGGACAAAGAATTATAAAAGTAGCACGTTTATGAGGAGAACCTACATGAAATCGTAAAGCAGTCTTAGAAGTGCTGTATCTTTTGCGAATCTGATGCCGAATTAATAAATTGCCCTTGCTTCCCACTTATATAATGCATTCCCAAGAGTAGCTAAGTGGATCCCTATTACAGGCTTTGTTGAGTGCTAGTAAAGATTTTTTCTTTTTCCCACACATTTTGAAAAATTCTTTATTGTGCTGCTGGAATCTCCATTTTACTTCAAGCATATTACAGTATAGTGAGTTTACATGCTGCCTTATTATTGCTGTTGAGCTTGACTACTACATTAGTTTCAAAGTCAAAATATTTCTAAAAATTCTACATTATGTAGTACGTTTCTCACTGATTTGTGCACTATCCAGACACCTGAGCTTATTGAGTAGTTTAGAAGTATGGTAGACAAATAAGCAGGAACTGATTAAATAATTAGGATGGGTTTCTGTTTCACATAAAAACATTCTATTGGTGAAATGATTTCTGAACAACAACACCTGAGACACTAGATATGTGCTGGTATTTCACTAGCCAGTTTGCTAGCTTCTGCAGAGTATATCTGAAACCAAACTTGGCAACAGATGTTACATCTTTATATCCTGCCTGTGTTCAACAGAGCAGAATTACCCATAATCAGTCATTACTAAATGCCACGTAAGTGATAACTTTCCTCCCTTTTTAAATTATTTGGATGTTTATAAATTTCTATTGCCTCTCTAATAATTCTGGGAAAACAGCTGTTACCTCATGACAGGATGGTGATATTCTCGAAGTTTTATGACTTGTTGTCCCTTGTCAATAGACTTCAGCCAAACTGATTGCCCTATGTTTTTAAGCCTAATGTTCCCTTAAAATTATTTCTGCATGTTATGGAGCATCCAGTTTCTCTAATGTAACCATCCCCACATTTACAATTTTATTTTATACATTCCCTTAATTTTTAGCTTCAGGAGTTTATACTTATTAGACGGCAGCAGTTGTTATGTCTTGTGTGCCATCCTATATTTTGCTCCTATACATTTTTTCCAGCATTTTTTTATATTGTTATACTTAAAGAAATGCACACTGTTCATAACACTAGAAGTAATATACTTTATCTTGTGTTTATACCTAAGCATAGTCATCCAGCTGCCAGGTATTTTTTTTTTTTTAATCCCAACTCAGAATGGACTTGATAAGGAAAAATATATATACCAACAATAGTAGAAACTGTGATGTTACTGGGGATGTTCTCTGTGTATGTGCATTTATGTCTGTATGTTGTTATGTTGTTTATTATATATTCATTACTTAGAAAAGCATTATAAGATACTGATTTCGGTGGGGTGACAAATAATGCAAAGCAATAATTTAAGCCTAGCCGTTTGTTCCTCAAGTGAGAACTCAGATTATTCAACAACAGAGTGTTAAATCTGAATGTCCCTTATATCCATACATATTTAAATTACATCATTTGTGTTTATTTGAATCATTTTCATGGATTTATGGATTACTTCAGATATAATGGATGTTGGGGAAATGTCCAGAAGAGTTTTTTGGCTATTGCATCTAAAGTCCACCAAACTGGGACCTATTATGCTGAATATTTAATGTATTAACGAGAGCTTCACATCTATTAATGTATTAACGAGAGCTTCACATCTATTTCACATCTAGATTATTTCAGCCCAACTAGAAACCCAATCTGTAGTGGACTGGCATTGTCCTGCATAATTTTCAGGTGTTTGGTGTATGTTCATTGATTATGAAATTAAAAGACTATTTTGAGGGTTTTGAAACAATTACAATGTTGGTTGGCAGTTTAACTTTGCCCACAGATTACCATCGAATGTAGAATGTAATTATTCATCTACCTTGTGCATTTTCCCTATTGACAGGAAAGAAAAAGCAATTCCCTATAGATGTTCCTACCATCGGATCCAAGGGAACAATCAGGCTGCCAACAAACCAGAGAAGAGAACCCATACAACTCTTAAGCATACTCACTCATCATAAATCACTAAAGAGAAATATTTTTCAGAAGAAATATAAGAAGCAAGTTATATCAGCACTTTTTATGTTTAAAATGGATGATTATGATCAATCCTCCTTCCAGCCAATTATTTTGATGAAAGGGAGGCAAAATGTTTTTCTTACAAATGTTACTCTTGACGCATTATTCACTGATTTATCACAAGTCTTATTTTGCAAAAACAAGCTATTAAATATAGAGTTTTCATTCTTATTCAGCCATGTGGAATGCTTAACATAAAAATGCAAATAGAAAAATTTTGTCCTATCATATTTTGAAGCACGAAGCCCTATAATGGATAGAATCTCAAAGAAACTAGGGGTCATTTTCCCATGATGCTGCATGATTTCTACATTTATTACTTTTTAAGCCAAAGTATTGTTTGCAAAGATTGTAGGTTAAAATATGTAAGTACATGAATGGAGTATTGTGCAGTTTAATATGTATATATTGTAATACTCCTTGAGATGGTTTTTGCTGATTTTTAATAGTTTTTGTTTAATTGAAATTGCATGTATATGGCACAACTTTATTCATACTTGTAACTACCTAAAACAATTATCTCCATCCT